CTATAAACGGTGTAAGAAGGTGGTCCAGATTTTTTTTTTTTTTGCATGTATCTGTCCAATTTTCCCAGCACTATTTATTGAAGAGACTGTCTTTACCCCATTGTATATTCTTGCCTTCTTTGAATATATTAAGTGAGCATATATGTGTGGATTTATTTCTGGGCTATCTATTCTGTTCCATTGATCAATATATCTGCTGTTATGCCAGTATCATGCTGTTTTGATTACTGTAGCCTTGTAGTATAGTTTTCTATCAAGTAGCACAACACCTCCAACTTTGTTCTTCTTTTTCCATGTTGTTTTGGCTATCTGGGATCTTTTGTGTTTCCATATGAATTTTAGGATAATTTTCTCTGGTTTTGTGAAAAATACCATTGGTATTTCGATAGGGATTGAACTGACTCTGTAGATTGTTTCGGGTAGTATGAACGTTTTAACAATGTTAATCTGTTCTTTCTGAGTGCAATATATCTTTCCATTTATTTGTATTTTCAGTTTCAATTTTTTCCTACCCTTTGACTTTCAAATTATTTGTTCCTTTGCATCTAAAGTGTGTCTTCTATAGACAGCAGATAGTTGGATCCTATCTTTTTTTAATCCAGTCGAACAGTCTCTGCCTTTGTCCATTTATGTATAAATGTTAATATGATTGGATATATATCTTTGGTTTTCCATTTTTCCTATATATTTCAAAATGATTTTGTTCCTGTTTCTCCTTTACTGCCTCTTTTTGTGTTGAATATATATTTTTAGTATATCATTTTAATTTCTTTATTGATTTTTACCTTTAAAAATATTTCTTAGTAGTTTCTCTAGAATTCTTTTATAATCTGTATCTTATTTTATCACAATCTTCTTCAGATTATTACTAGCTTTATTTGGGTAAAATATAAAAATTATTTTACAATATAGTCCCATTTCATCTCCTTCTCCTTTATGCTATTATTTTCCTCTTATAACTGCATATATGCAACAAACCCCAAAATATAATGTTGTAATTATTGTTTTAGGTAATAATGTCTTTTAAAGTAAAAGCTAAGAGAAGAAAGAAAAATTGCATTTATATAATCTTTTCTATTTACCCACATATTTTTCTTTTTCAGTGATATTTATTTATACAGATGCTAGTTACAAACTGGTGTCATTTCTTCTCAACTCTAAAGACCTCCTTCAGTATATGTGATAAGGAAGGTCACTACCAAAAATTCTGTCTTTATCCAAGAATATATTTATTTTACCTTCATTTTTGAAAGATAATTTTTGCTGGATGTAGAATTCTCGGTATTCACCAACAATTTTTTTCAGCACTTTGATTTACCACGTGTTCTGTTATCTATTGTTTCTGATGAATATTTAGCCATTAATCATGTTGTTGTTCCCCTGTACATAAGTCATTTTCTTACTGTTTCCAAGATTTCCTCATTGTCTTTTAGCTGTTTGACTCTATTATGTCCAGATGTAGATCTCTGTTATACTTATTCTACTTAAGGTTCATTGAGCTTCCCCAGATTGGTAAATTAATCTTTCTTGTCTTTATTTCTTCAAATATTATTTTCTGCTTTCTTTTCTCTTCCTCCCTTCTCAGACTTCCATTACATGTATGTTGGTTCACTTAATGATGTCTCCAAGTCTTGAGGCTCTGTTAATTTTTTAAAATTCTATTTCTGTTCTTCAGACTGATCATACCTATTGATCTATGTTCAAGTTAAGATTATCTGTCAGCTTGAATCTGCTGTTGTGTCCTTCTAATAAATTTTTATTTCAGTTGCCATAGTTTACAACTGTAGAATTTTCATTTAGCTCTTTTTGAAAATATTTATTTATTCAGATTTTCTATTTCTTGACTCATTATATACTTTCCTTAAATTTTTGAAATAATTTTCTTTCTTTTTTTAAATAATAACTGTTTTTGAAGTCTGTCTGCTAAATCAACCAGATAGACCCACTCAGTTTCTACTAACTGCTTTATTTTCTTGAATAAGGTTTACATGTTCCTACTTCTTTGCATGTCTCCTAATTTTTAGTCAAAAACTGGATATTTGAAATATAATACAGCAACTCTATATTATTTTTCCCCAGAGGGGGTGTGAGTGGTGGTGATCGTTTAGTAATTTGCCTACACTAAATCTGTGAAATCTGTCTCCTCAGTGATGTGTGCCTACCGATATCTGTTTTTCACATTGTTTTTTATTTTCAAGCCTAGCTTTGTTGAGGTCACCTCTGTGTCTGCATCAGTCGATGATTAGCCAATAATTGGTCAGAAGTTGTGCTAAGACACTTTGAGCCAGTAGGCTTCCAATATTTATCAATAGACCTGTGTATGGGCAGAGGAGTATATTTAAAGTCTGCTCTTTTACTTTCCACTGGTCCCACTCACATCTCCTCTGCATATGCAGACAGGCAGTCAGAAAGGGATGTATGAAAAGCTTATCAAGGTCCTCTGTGGCTATCTCATTTCCTGTGTCTTCCTATTAAATTCTGGTTAATCTGCTAGCCTGTTGTTTGCCCCATCTAGGACTCCAACCTCAGGCTCAATGAGCAGGTGGCCTTTCCTGTTTGGTTGCTGCTGAGATTGCTATTGTTACTTAAAATTAACCATGAACATGGGGTTTAAAAAGATCCATTCTCAATCAAGTAAGCCTACATTCAAGTGAGTAGTGCAGCTGCCGATATTCATGACTTGCCTCACTCTAGAATAATTACTGCCCTAACTGCACTGGGGTGACAAGAATGACACTAACTCCTACAGTTCTTACCTGGAGTTCAGTAGATTATGAATAGATATTTCTCTGTTTATTGTATGACTTTGGACAATTTCCAGTGGTTGCTTTTGCTAATTTTTTTCCCATTTTATCATTGGTTTTTGAGGAAAGGATTGAGCTTCTTACTCTACCCTACTAGAAGTCTTATTTTCCTCCTGACCAACTAGAAATTGTACTTATTTCTGTGTAGCCTACTGTTTTGGAGCCCTGTGTCTACTTTATCCTTTGCTTTATTATTTTTTTCTTTCAGAAACTTGTTGTGGATAACAAATTTTCAGGGTGCTTGCAGGTCCAAGGTCATCATTCTATCTTTACATTTGAATATCAAATAACCTATTTTGATTAAAGATTATAGATTCAAATCCTTGTGCTGCATGCACGCACACATACACACATCACCACCACCACTACCAGCACCAGAAAATCTATAGCTTTCTCAAATCAAGAGTGGCAGATAAAACTAATGCCCATCTGATTCTTTTTCCTTTTTAACTCAACTATGACTGCCTCTAGAGTCTTTTTAAACTTTCTCTTAATCATTGGTGTTCATATCTATGTTTCCAGATGGGGACATTTTTGTTTTCACTAAAACTTAAAGAACTTTCTTCCATGGGTTTTTTTCCCCTCTTAATTTGTACTTGTTGATACTTTGCATTGAGTTCTGTTCTACCACTTCAGTAATTTGATCTTCCTCTGTGACCAGAATTTAAAATTTATAATTTATAATTTTAAATTACAAGAGTCATGTTTTTACTTTCCAGAAATTCCCATAAGATCATGTTTTATTTTCATGAATGATAGTTTTGTTTCGTTAATACTTTTATTAAATATACATATAAGAGCATATGTGTATGTGCTGTTAAAAATTATAAATCCAGTATCTTGCACACACTTTCCAGCTTAAGAAATCAAACATAATCAATCTTTTATAGTTTTTTTTTATAATCCTCTTCCCCATTTCTAACCTCTTACCCCTGAAGTTACCACTATCCTGAATTTGATCTTTCACTTGTGCTTTCCTCTTCAGGTTGACTGCATATGTATATATTCATAAACATTTTGTTTAGATTTACATATCTTTGAATGTTATAAAATGGAATGAAACTGTATATAATCTTCTGTAGTTTTAATTTTTGCTCAGTATTAATGAGATTTAAACATTTTTTGGCTATATATAGGAATATACCACAAGTTATTGATAGGTATTTGTATTGTTTCTTATGTTTTGCTATTTAAACAATATAATTGCAAATATATTAATATGTCTTCTTAAAAAATTCACAAGATATATATCTAGATCAGAATTGCTTAGTGGTACTTCCACTTGCCAGGATACTTTATTTTCCAAAATGTTTATATCAACATATGCTCACCAACCATTAATGATTTTCCATTATTCTTCTTCCCTGCACTCACAGTATAGTCAGACTTAGCTATTCATTCTCTTAATGGTGACTTTTAGTGGATAAAAGTTATTTTAAGTTCTGTAAATTTTCCATTTCTTCCCTTATGACTTAAGTTTTTTGCCTTAAGAAGTTTTTTCCTATCCCTAGATCATAAAAATATTTTCTTATAATATATATCTATCTATCTATATATATAGATATATATATAAAATATTTCGTTCATCATTTAAAATTTTTTAATCCATCAGGAATTTATTTTTGTATAAGGGTAGAAATTTAATTTTTCTTCTTCCACATGATCAGTGGTAAGAGCAACTTTGCTTAAAAGTCCATCCCTTCCCCCAATAACCTATACTGCCAAATATGTCAGATGAAGTTGCTATTTATGCACAAGTCTGTTATGGGTGATTGGGATCTTTACTGAAATTGCATTTATGAATGTATTATTCTCTTCAAAGAACTAATGTTCTCTGTTGCTTTTTTGATTTTCATAGTGTACATGTATCTTATATTTCATTGATTTTTGTTTATTCCTACTTTTTTTCTTTAGATTTAATTTCATCTTTTACTAATTTCTTCAGATAGATGTTTAGATAATTGATTTTCAGGCATTCATCATTTTATTATAATATATTCATTTGGGCTATAAATTTCCTATGAACATAAATTCTCCAAGTTTTTATACATCATTTTTATAACTCTTTTCAAATATTTCTAATTTTCATTTTCATTTCTTCTTCATGAGTTATTTAATAGTATATTGTTTGATTTTTAAATACTTTAGGATTCTTTAGTTATCTATATCTTTTTGTTATTGAGTTCTACCTTGATTTAATTGTTATCAAAGAATATATTTTGCATAATTTCTATCCTTTGTTGAAGTTTGTGGTTCAGCATATGTCAGTTCTGGTAAATGTTCCAGGATACTTGGAAAAAAAGTATAGACTATAATTGCTGATAGAGTGTTCTATATGTGTCAGTTATGTCAACTATCTTTTCTTCAAATCTTTTATATCCTTACTTATCTTTACATTGTTTTTTCTTTCAGTTACTAGATGAATTCTTTTAAAATATCCAAATATGATTATGGAGTTTTTTCTATCTCCTCTTCTGTGTCTGTTTTGCTTCATATGTGTTACACACACAGATACACATACTTAGGACTGTTTTATTCTATTGACTCAATCCTTTTATAACTTTTATAGGTTCCTCTTTATCTCTGGTAATATTTTCTAGATCTATACATTAAAGTTAGTAAAATGCATAAATCTTTAGTGTACAGCTTGATTCATTTTTATCTATGTGTGAGTATACATGTGTGTGTGTATACCTGTGAAATTATTACTCAGATCAGGATGTAGAAAAATTCTTTCATCCTATAAAGTATTATATCCCTTCCCAGTCAACTACTGTCCAGAATTCTACCAACATACTAGTTTTGCTTGTTGTTAAACTTCATATAATGGAACCATACATTTTTGCCTTGGCTTCTTTTTAACACATATATATTTATAAATATTTGTTATTACAAACATGTTTATTGCTGAGTTTTCCATTGTGATTATGCTGCAATTAGTTCTGTATTCTCCTACTGATTTACACTTGTGTTGCTTTTTAAGGGCTTTTTGAGGGGTGGGGGAGAGCCGGCTATTACGGCTAACATTTTTGTACAGATCCTCTTTGATCTATATACTCATCCCTCTTGGACATATACCTAGTAGTAAAATTACTGGGTCATAGACTAGGCATATGTTAAACTCTTCTTTTTCCAACTTTATTGAAATATAATAGGTAATTAGTTGCTCATATTCACATTGTACAATTCAATGAGTTTTTTTCAGCTATAGTTGACATACAATAATATATTAGTTTCAGTTGTACAGCATAGTGATTAGAGATCTAAATCACTATGCTATGATCACCCCTCTAAACCTAGTACCCCCTTCCCCTTTACATATTTATTACATTGTTAACTATTTTCCTTATGCTACACTTTATATCTCCATGTCTATTTTGTAACTATCCATGTGTACTTCTTAATACCTTTGCCATTTTGTGCTGTCCCCCAACTCACCTAACATCTAGTAGCCCTCAAAATATTCTCTGTATCTATGAGTTTGTTTTCATTTTTGTTGTTGTTTGTTTTGTTCTTTAGATTCCACATATACATGAAATTATGTGATATTTGTCTTTCTCTGACTTAATTCATTCAGTGCAATACCCTCTAGGTCTATCAAGGCAATGTATTTTCCCATCTCCTTCCTTTTAGACTCACTGTGTCTTTTAATCATAAGTGAGTCTCCTGTAGGCAGCATATGTAGGGGGCTTCTTTTCTAATCCATTCAGCCACCCTATCTTTTGGTTGGAGCACTTAATGCTTTTCCACTTGAGATACTTGTTGATAGGAATGTAGTTATTAGCATTCTTTAGTCCTATTTTTGATACATGTTTTCTTCTTATTAAAGAAGTCCCTCCAACATTTCCTGTAATACTGGCTTGGTGTAGATAAATTCCCTTAGCTTACTTTTGTCTGGGAAGCTCTTTATCTGTCCTTTGACTCTTAAAGGGGCGTTGTCCACAAGTGGACTTCCACGGTGATGGACTTGCTCGTTCTGAGCACCAGCACTGGGTCAATTGCTCAAGAGACACCGTGGACTTACAGGGGACACTGAGTTGTCAAAGCAAGGGCTGAAGACAAGGCTTTCTTGATTATAGATTCTGGGTTTTCATCACAATGAATATTTTGTACTAAGCCCTTCTGCCTTGCATAGTTTCTTTTGAGAAATCAGCTGCCAGTCTTATGGGTGCTCCCTTGTAGGTAACTAACTCCTTTTCTCTTGCTGCTTTTAAGGTTCTCTTTGTATTTAACCTTTGGCATTTTAATTATAATATACACTATATTGTGTGGGCCTCTTTGTGTTCCTCTTTTTGGGGATTCTCTGAGCTTCCTGGAATTGTATGTCTATTTCCTTCACTAGGGGAGGGAAGTTTTCCATCATTATTTCTTCAAATAGCTCTTCAACTTCTTGTTTTCCTTTAAGTGTCCCTATGACATGGATATTTTTACATTTAATAATGTTCCATAGGTTCCTTAAATTATTATTATTTAATCTTCGTTTCTTTTTTTCTTGCCATTCTGATTGTTTTGGCTTCCCCATCCTCTGTATTGGTGGTTTGATGCTCCTCTTTATCCACAATGTTTATTCCCTCTAATATACTCTTCATCTCAGATAATGTGTTCTTCATTTCTGACTGGCTTCCTTTTATAATTTCCATTTTCATTTCTATGTTTTTTAATCTCTTTGTAAAAGTTCTCACTGAATTTATTTACACTTCCCCTAAGTTCATTGAGCATCTTTATGATCAGAGTTTTCAACTCTGCTTCTATTAGATTGCTTGACTCCATTATTTCTGGATCTCTGTTCTGTTCTCTCATATGGTTTCTGCTTCTATGTCTTCCCATTTTGGCTGCCTTTCCATTTCTGTTTCTATGTACTAAGCAAAGCTTCTAAGTCTCCCGGGTCTTATTAGTGTGACTTTGTTTAGTAGTGTCCAGTGGCACAGTCCTGAGAGAGGTTCACTAGCCTGTACCCCTCCGGGGCCACCTGTTAAGATTCAGCTAGCAATCTACCAATGCTGTGCTTATAATTGCCTCATATTTTTTTATTTTTTTCAATTATAGTTTACATACAATATTTTATTATCTTCAGGTGTTCAACATGATTAGACATTTATACAACTTACGAAGTGATCTCCCCGATAAATCTAATATCCATCTGTCACTGTACATAGTTATTATAATATGAACTAAATTCAAGGTTAGTTTATTAGTGAAGAAAACTTTAAAAAACAAATTTAATTTGGCCAATGTGTACAGTGTTTATGAAGTCTACAAAAGTCTACAGTAATGTCCTTGGCCTTCATCACTCACCACTCAATCACTGACTCACCCAGAACAACTTCCTGTCTTGAAAGCGCCAATCATGGTAACTGCCATATACAGGTGTACTATTTTTTTTTATACTGTATTTCACTATATCTTTTCTATATTTAGATATGTTTAGATACCCAAGTACTGCTATTGTGCTACCTACAGTATTCAGTACGGTAACATACTATACAGTTACAGCCTAGAAGCATGCTATAAGCTATATCATATAACCTAGATGTGTAGTAGGCTATACAATCCAGGTTTGTGTAAGGGCACTCTGTATGTTCACACAATGAAATGTAATTTCCTCATGATGCACTTCTCAGAAGGTATCCCCATCATTAAGCAGCACACGACTGTATTTTATGATGTTTTGACATCTTATAAAGATTGTTCGCCAGGAAGAGACTGCCTCTCACAGGGCTAGGCAATTCTTAGAGATAGAAAAGGGCTGGAGACATGCCTGGAGCATTCTTTCATATGCATACCAACCAATCCCAGCCCCAACAATCTCCTTATGTGATTCTCTCACACCAAGGCAATATTTCCCCTGCCCTAAATCAACCTGAGGCCAGGTACCAGGTACTAGACATACAGTTATAGCCCAGAGCTGTAATGCTATATGAGGGAGGGTCCCCAGCCACATCTCAACTTTACAGATAAGGCAAGATCTGATCACTTGTTGAATCTCTTGGATAAATCTTTATTGTAAAAAAAGCATGGACAAATTTCCCATCAGTTGCATTCATTCTTTGCTATCTACATTTCAAAGTCTCAATACAGTTGAGGTGACACCAGATAGTACAAGACAGTCAAATTTAGCCGTTGTCTCATGGGGGCAGATTGTTGTATTTGGATGTCTTTTTTAGAAATCAGATTAAACTTGTCATTACAGTGTTAACAGTGGCAGAACTTCTAAGGGCTACTGAAGCTGCATGACTTATTGTGAAAGAGACTAACCATTCAATATCTGAAACAAAAACTTTATTGCTCACTTTTTGTTTATCTATTACTATGTAGCAAAAACACCCAAAACTTGGTTTAGAACAATTTATTATTTTTCTGTATGTAGAATGGGTGATTTTTCTGCTTCACTTGGCATTCACTGAAGTCTCTTACTGGGCTGGCTACATTTAGGCAACAATGGGTCTGGGCTGGAAGGTCTAAAAAAAAACCTTCACTCACATCTGGCACTATGGGGTTTCACCACCAGTAGCTTGAGTTTCTTCACAGCTGGGTGGTCTCAGTCAGACTAGTTAAACTTTTTGCATGATGGTTAGCTTCAAGAAGGAAAGTGGAAGCTGCCACACTTCCCAAAGGGTAGGTCCATAATTTCTGTCAGATTTCTATAAACCAAAGCAAGTCACAAGGCCAATCCAGACTCAAAGGGCAGGGAATTCGTCAACCTAAGAATGTCCAAACCTATAGACAATTTTTATGAATTCATTAGTTTATTTCAGCCAAACAGAAGACATGCCTGGAAGCAAGATCTCAATAGACAGAGAAAAATACTTCCCAGAATGACAGCTTAAAGTTTTATACATTTGGAATTAAGGAGGGTATGTAAAGGTTTACATGAATGTGGGAGAAAACAAAGCAGAAAAATCTCTATGATTGAATTACAGGATAGTTAACAAGATCATGTGCTCTCTAGAGGGTGGTTACGATTCCCAGGGGTAGGAAAAAAGAGGCATTTCAAAGGCGTGTTAACCTAGATGCACAAAAACAATGGACAGGGCTTGCTTAAGGCAAAAATAACTTTTTACTAGGGAAGATACAGGCCTGAGGGACAACTCCCCACTCTGACTTGCCCAGTTAGAATGTTATGATCAGACCACCCTGTGAGATTACTTTTGGTCAGTGTGCTTGAATATAGCTCCTTTGACCATCATACTAGCCAAAGGAGTACTATACTTGTAAATCAAACTCAAATTAAAAAATGATACATAGTTTTAGGAAATAAAGGATTCGGGCATTGGCAGGCTTTTGAAAGCAGGAGCGTTGAGAAACTTACTGGATGGCTTCAGTCATAAAAGTGTAGTCACTGGAGTGAAGCTGTAGCTGACTTGCTGACTTTCTAGAGCATGGTTAGAATGAAAGCTGTTGTTGATTAGCTTTCAGCAATGTGGAACTGTCATAGATTGGTTGGCCTTCATAAGTATGTGTACTGATGAAACATTCTCCAATAAACGGCTATCAATGTCTGATCAGTTGTCTCTGCCATTCTGGTGATTACTACCAGTTCATGGCTTGAGGTTATGGCCAAGAAACAGTCAGTCCTAGGCTTTCTTGAATTTGGAGACTAGAAACATTTTATTATTATCAGATACTTACTTTTTAAGCATTTTCATTATTACAGGCTTTATTCTTTTTTATTAAATTTATTGGGGTGACATTGATTAATAAAATTATATAGGTTTCAAGTGTACAGTTCAATAATAATCACATGTATATTGTATTGTGTGTTCACCACTCAAAGTTAAGTTTCTTTATTCTTAACAACAGGTTTGCCAGTTATTGGATTGTCCTCAGAAAGTACTAATTAATTTTTATTTAGGTTTTGTTTGAGAGGCTGAGGAAGTTAGAAAACGTATTTGCTTTTACAGCAGGTTGAAATAAATAACTCTAAAGGCATTAAGGTTCCTCTTAAACCTCTATCAAGATGGAATGCTCATGTCAGAGCTGAGTAGAATATTGATAACATACTGAGTAGAGTATTCACAAATTATTATATATAAACACAAAGTATACTTTATTCTTAAAATACAGTCGCTAAGTATAATCATATTAAGTGTTCATTAGAGTTAAACATCAGACAAATCAGAGTGAAGCATGCTTAAAAAGTTGAACACCATGAAAGTCATCTTCATTAATAAGGGGAAGTAAGGTGGCAAGATTTGGACTGGAGCAGCATTTGACAATCACATGAAGTATGGGCAATAAAATAATTTTATTAGCAATGTAGTAATACCAGTAATATGTATTACTAGTAATGTAGCGGGTGGAGTTGGGTATTGTAAGGTTTTTTTTTTTTATGTTATTAGATTACATTAATTAAGTATGACATAAAGATGGTATTTTATCATGGGATAGTAAAAAAATTATAAAATGTTATAGAGAAAACTGGCATTGGCTTGGAAGAAATAATACTGTGGGCAGGGATTCATTAACAATTCAATTTAATTTAGACATTGTTTATTTCATATATGTACTACTACATTCCATCAGGAAATTTCTTGATGTTATGATAAATCAAGTAAAACACATTTCTTTGAAAAAATCCTAATGCTTAAGCTTTTAACATATAAATATACAGCATAAAATAAATATACTGCACAGAACTACCAACCACAAATTGCTGTATGCACCATTTCCGAAACACATACTATATATAAAAGTATATTTCTAACAGTGGTTGTGATGTTTTCAGCTCTAAGGAACAGAAAAACTTAACTTTGTAAAGTACCAGATAGTAATTATCTTAGGTTCTGTGAGACATACGGTCTTTGTCAGAACTAATAAACTCTGCTCTCTTCTAGTGTGAAGGTAGTCACAGGTAAAACAGAAATGAATGGTTTTTCTCTGTACTCGTGTTCTAATAAAAATTTATTTATAAACACTGAAATTTGAGTATCTTATAATTTTCATGGCACAAAATACTCTTTAATTTTTTCAACCATTAGAAATGTAGAACCATCTTTAGCTTGCCAGCTGAAAAAGAGGCAGGCAGTAGGCCAGATCTGAACCACTCGTGGGAAAATACACAACCAAACCAAACCAAGGCACTACAGCAATAAAGTAGGGGATGAATGTTGATAGCCAAGCTTTGTTTTTTTGGCAGCATAATTCAAGAAATACAAATTATGATGATAATATCTAACATATAGCTGTTCTTGTGTCTGACACTATTCTAAGTGCTTTAAAAATATTAACTCCTTTACACCTCAAAGCAACCCTATTGTGATTATCACTTCTTTTTTATAGAAAAAGAAACTGAGGCATAGATCCTAACATATTGTGATTATCACTTCTTTTTTATAGAAATAGAAACAGAGGCATAGACAGGTTAAGTGGCATGCCCATGCTGCAATTTGAGCCTATGCCATGTTGTCTCTACCAGAAAGAAAAAGGTAATGAAGAACATTTAGTACTCCCCTACAAAATACAAATGCAGGTAGCTCTGCAGCCTGCTAAAATATCAATAGTAAGATAGATAACATTTCTAAACATGGCATTATTTGTTTTTATAGTGTAGAGTATTTTCAACTGTTTTTAAAAACAAACTCAGGCTTTTCATATTAATAAATGTGTCCTTAATGTAAAATTCAGTTGACAGTTGAAAATTTTACAAAGACATTTTAAATTTTTTTCAGAATGATTAGTTCAGTAACAACACATATATATTCACTTAGAAATGCCAGGAATCAGGAAAAAAGATGTATGATAATCTTTTAAAATAATACAAATATACATTATATTAACAATAGGAATCACTGCTGAGACTCAAGGTGAAACATTTTCATATACATTAAAGTTACTGAACTAGGGTCATATTTTTCCCTATGTACAATTATAGACAGATTCCACATGCACATCGAACATCCACAATCTGTGTTATGTAGCACACTCACAAATACAAGTCCTCCACATTGCAGGACTCCATGTGTTTAATGATGTTGCCTGATTATTCAATTTATTTGTATCTTCTAAAAAGCTTCATATATCTAGACACTTGCGGTTAAAAAAAAAATCCTTGAAATCAACATGACTTCTAGAAACTATTTCCCTCGGTACAGATTCTCCTTGAATTTTTGTTAAAAAGCTTTCACATATTTGAAATATCTGTAAAGATTCTATCCCAGTATCAATGATCTGAAATTCACTTCTGATAAGGGCGTCTATATCTGATGCAATCTTTGCAGACATCCCTTTGAGGGTTCTAATGAGTCCAACTGGTGTGAAAAGGTTTCTGAACGCTCAGGATACTGATAGGAGTTTCTCATTCACGTGAACTTTTAGATGTCTAGTAATGGCTGCCTTGACAGAAAATTTCAATATTCATTTTATTTACAGGATTTACCTCCTGTGTGATTTCTATGTTATACAATAAAGTATGACTTCTGAAAGGCTTCCTTCCATTTTACAATTTGTAGTGTTTCTGCCATCTATGCTGCCTGACATTTAGTAAAGTCTAACATATGATAAGAATTTCTTCCTTATAGATTTACAGAATTTCCATGTAGTTCCTCTCCGTGAAGAAAGATTGTGGCTAAAATTTTCCCATACTGATGATATTCATAAGGATTTTGTCTTATGTGAATTATGATTATCCTGAAGGCTCAATTCAGTCAGAACAATTTCTCAATTCATACTACTTTATAAGCTTTTCCCCTCTGTGTGTGTCTTCTGATGTGCAGTGAGTTTTGATTTCTGGATAAAAGTTTTCCTACACTCTTGACATTCATACGGTTTCTCACCTGTGTGTTTTCTCTGATGTATGATAAAATGTGACTTCTGAGAGAAGGATTTCCCACATTCCTTACATTCATAGGGTTTCTCTCCTGTGTGAGTCCTTTGATGTAATCTGAGGACTGAATTCACAGAGAAAGATTTACCACATTCATGACATTCATAGGGCTTCTCCCCTGTGTGTTTTCTTTGATGTTTAGTAAGATCTGATTTATAGTAAAAGTTTTTTCCACATTTATTACATTCAAAGGGTTTCTCCCCTGTGTGACTTCGCTGATGTACTGTGAGGGCTGACTTCTGGTAGAAGCATTTCCCACACTGACTACATTCATAGGGTTTCTCTCCAGTGTGAGTTCTCTGGTGAGTTTTGAGGTGTGAATTTCTAGAGAAGAATTTCCCACATTCCTTACATTTATAGGGTTTCTCCCCTGTATGTGTTCTCTGGTGTACTGTAAGGTGTGATTTCTGGGAAAATGATTTCCTACATTCCTTACATTCATATGGTTTCTCCCCTGTGTGTGTTTTCTGATGTACCATTAGGTATGCTTTAACATAGAAGAACTTCCCACATTCAGTACATTCATAGGGTTTCTCTCCTGTGTGTGTTTTCTGATGTTCTATGAGGTGTGGCTTCTGGTAGAAGGATTTCTCACACCGATCACATTCATAGGGTTTCTCCCCTGCATGAGTTCTCAAATGTCTACTAAGAGATGACAAGTGGTAGAAAGATTTCTTACATTCTTTGCATTCATAGGTTTTCTCTCTGGTGTGAGTCTTCTGATGTTTTGTGAGGTCTCTATTCCTAGAGATAGATTTCCCACATTCACTGGGTTTGTCCTTTGAATGAGCATGCTGATGTGCTATGAGGACAGACTTCTGGCAGAAGGACTTTCCACATTCATTGCATTTATAGGTTTTCTCTCTGGTATGAGTTTTCTGATTGGTGAGTTCTCCAGTCCTAGAGAGAAATTTCCAAATTCATTAATGTATAAGGCTTTTTTCCCCTGTATTTTCCAAAACTCTGAGAACCGATTTCTAGAGATTTTCCCGTATTCATTAGATTTATAAGGCTTTCCACTGTGAATGTTCTCTGACATACACTGTGGCTTAACATTTGATAGAAGGAAACTTCACTTACATTACATTCTCAGGGTCTCTAAACTGCCTGAACTTGACTTTGTATAATAAAGTCTTCCTTATTGTGTAACTCTGAGGAATCAAAAAGCCTGTTTCAAAGTTTGAATCTCTTGATTCCAAATAAGGTCTCCATTATGAAAAAGGGCTTTCTCATTTAGAATATATTCTTTGGAGTGTTAGTTTTTGCACATTTAGCATGAAATAGTGCTCTTCCACCTCTAGTACTCTCGGCAAGACCCTTTTTTTTTTTTTTACAAAGCTTCTAATCTTAAAAAATAAATTCTTTAACTTGCCTTGAATTTTCAGCTTGGCTTTCCCTGTATCTTGCTCCTGGGTCATGAATATTCCATAGGTCTTCTACAAAGCAATCCAAAATTTAATACCACATAAATCTTAACACTTTATTATGGTTGTAGGGTTGATTCTTAGGCTTCAGGCCAATCTCTCCAAATGAAGGAACTCTCAAATGCAAATCTCCTCTATTTCATTTGGTTTAAAAAAAAAACAAACACTAAAAACTGTTATAGCAGACAGGTGAAGGAAAATGATTATAAACGCAAGTACCTCTGACACTTTATAAATATGACCTTAAAAACTTGGAGGAGTAAGTAAATACAAAAAAACAAAGAACAGAGCAGAGAACAAAAGATTTAAAGCATTGCTGAACAGGAATACAGGAGTCACAATGCTGTGAGCCCATTAAGGACAATAAACAGTAAGTAGGGTGATAAGAAAAATTGGTAGACAACTGTGTTCACTGGAAATATCAGGGGAAAGATACCTGCTCAAACCTAGTTCACTGTGTTAAGATTCCTAGTCATTAGCACACTATAAACTTCTTTATTTCCTCTTTACTCTTATACAGCAATCTAGATATGAACACTAAAGTGACTTTCTCATATTTAGAGGAACAGTCCTATAGCTTGGGCTTTCACTCTCCATCTAGTTGGCTTAATTTTCACTGGGACAGAAGACCCAGAAACATGTTATGTCCAAAAGTAAAGATTTTTAAAAAGAAAAGTGCAAGCCATCTATATAACAAAATGAATTCCCAGTTGTAGCACCAAGGATTATCACTCCTGACCAACAAATATTG